AGTGAAGTGTCACTTTACAAAACCTGCGTGCCATATCAGGTGTTGAGATGCTGGTCTCTGGAGTGCAAACCTTCTGTGCATCCAATTCCAACTTGGCATTATTTATTTATTTTGAAGCATTTTTTTGTTTACATTTGGAAAGTGGTCAGCGAATATTGTATTGGGGGGAGGTTGGGTATGGGTACATCATATCTGACCAATCTACTGTTGGATGAAGGCCTCCATCACCACCTGCCACACGGTCCTGTCATGTAACGTTGTACATGCCTCCTTCACACCAGATGATTTTGGGTATGCGTAGAGCTGTTACATACACACACACACATTTAACAACAAAAAACACCAAAAACCATTGAGACTCTGAGATTGTTGGGTGTTGGCGGAACCCAACACCGTGGTTCATGCCCCGCATCTCAACCCCTATCCGTAACCCGAACGCACCTGCGACCCCGTGACCTTTCCAGCCGTAACTCCTGCCCGCAAGAGGTGCAGCCCTAAACCTGAAACCAACGTCACGGTAACGTCACCAGCCGCCAATGGATTCGTTGCCTGGCAGCGGTCCTAATTGTGTGTGCTTTGTGCCATCGTGTGTTTTAATTACGGCGCTGTCAGGCTGTGCAAATAAAAGTAATGCGATGACCCCCCCACACCCCACTGGACTACCCTTGAAACCCCACAGACCCTCCCTACCCCACCCCCCACGCAGGTGCAGGGAGTAAAACATATTTTCCAGAACACAGCCCCGGACAGCTCCGAGCAGCTCCGAGCTGAAATAATGTCCCGGTGATGACGACCCTAAAGGGAAACCGAAAACCGCTCCTGACGCTCCGAAAATGTTTCGGCCAGGAGATTGCGAAAAGCCGCAGGGCGTAATTGCAGGGGAGGTGGGGGGTAGGGTTTCGCTTTGCCTCCGGGCTTATCTCCCCGCTTCTCCTGTGCTTTGAGGCTTCAGCGTGAGCCGCGGCTATCCCAAGGGGAGGTGGGGGGGGAGGAGATTGCTCTGCGCTCGTGAGCCACCTGTCCGCTCGGGCCGTATCGGGTTGCAAGGCTAGGGGACCAATTTGGCGTCGGTGTGGTTGACGATCCCCACCTGCCACCTTTTCCGAATCGTCGACTCTGACTGCAGGTGAGACGGACAAAGGCCTATTTGAGGGTTGTCCTGGAAACAAACTTGGGTAACCCGACAAAATATCGCTGTTCGGGAAAGCAGGACTTGTGTTGGGAGTGGGTCAATTAAGTGAAACAGAATTCATTGGTATTAAAATGTGGGAATGTGATGCAATTAAGCTGGCATGATTTATCAAGTTGCACGAAATTTATCTAATTCTGCGGTTTATTATGGATAAAATTAGCTCATCAGACTGTGGGCCTTCTGCACCGGTGTTTGCCATCAGCATTTGTTTAGGCAGGGAAACTGCAGACCCGTTCTGACTTTCCGAGCCCCATCGGCAAAGTTCCCTGGGTTGCCACTCCATTTCGAGTTGTCTCTCAATCATCACGTCCGATCTCAGCGAACAAGCACCCTTGGTTCAGTCGAGGTCGACCTGCGCACTGGAGTCACTTTTGTTCCACGCAGCGCACATCACCTTGACCTGCGCCTGTCTGACTATCACGAGTGCTTGCGCCCTTGACCCGATACGCTGGGAGCGGCCCAACTAGCCCGAACCAAACCCCCTTTCCTAGCGACGACTCGCCTGGTGTTTGTGGAGCCCAGATAAGTGCGTGCGCGAGGCACGGCCAATCTAAGCATTCGCATGCGTGCACGCGTTAACCTAGTGCCTTTGTTCAGGGACATGTTTATTAGTCGGAGAATGCAGTTTAGCTATCGGTGTCGGCAGTTCAACACTTTTTTGAAAGCTCGGCTTATTATGAGCTCCACGATCCTTGAGCAAAAAACAAAGACAAAAACGATTTGGCGGCCGAGGAGCCATCGAGATGAGAGCGCGTCGAAGTCAAGCAGGGAGCGCGCCTCGGCACGGCCACGTCAGCACAACCGCGAAAACCTTGCGCAGTCGCGGTTCAAAGAGCGCTCCCCGATTTCAAATGCCGCTCGCCATCGGCCTCGTTATTCCGCATCTTTTATTGCTCGACCCTGCAGAGGGGCGAGATCCGTTGCACGGAGTTTTCGCCACGTGCGTCGGCGCCCCCCACGGTGCCGTGCGCGGCGTTTGCAAGACGTCGTGCGGCGGTGGTGCCATCGCACGCCCGTCTCGTGGCGGGTGCCAGTCCCGCGACAGTAACCCGATGCCGTGCTCGTTACATCGCCGTGAACTTTTGAGCGCGAGGGCGTGCTCCACAACGCGCGCGGAATGTGGTTTGCTTCGGCGATGCAATATTCTTCTGCCGATCTTTCGGTTACGTACCCAAGTGTAATAAAATTGTTGAATAAATAAAAAAAGAACTCAGGGTCACATTTAATGCACCGCACACAGCAACACCCAGAAGCCAGAAACTCGCTCTGTTACTCCGCCGCGCTCGACAAAAGGTTTAATCCTGGACCGCTCTTGTGGTTCACGGTCTCTGGTTCCAGTCACAATACGTGATTGTTTTTTTCTCCTTCCATATCGTGCGTAATACAATAGCGGAGTGCGCACGTTCCTTGCACCGCACCAAGGGTGTGGGACTGTTTGCCAGCCTTGAAGGTTGCTCTTTGGCGCAGTGGCCGAGTGGGTGCACGCCCGTGTGCTTGCGTGCGCGTGCAGTCGTGCGCGACCGCCCTGATGATGCTGCACCACCTCCTCGTCGTCTCTTATCCGACGACGACGACGATGATTATGGCGACCGTGGCGACGGTGGCGACGGTGGCGACGGTGGCGAGTTGACCAGCAACGGTTCCCATGTTCACGTCGCGGTTGCCGAGTGAGCCAGTGGACGGGCGGGCCTGTTCTTGATTATTGTCCGTCGGTCGAGGTGATGGCCGCATCTGCTGTGCGGTGCTCTTTTGTGTAGCTCGACACGGGCCATTGTTTCCAGGGGGCAAACAACGGAAAACTGTGTGCCTCTTCGCCGCCGGGACATCACGACAACACGCACCACCAGCCCCATGCCCCCCCCCCCCCTCAAGTGGCGATGTTTGCACACCGCACCAGCGACTCATTTAAAACCGAGTCAACTTAGGGGGGGGGGGGAGGACCAGGACCGGTTTCAGATACTCGGCACTCGATGTTAACCGTGGCCGGAAATCAAACTCAGGTTGCCAGGTTCATAGCGCAGTGCTCTTACCACTATATCACTGCTTTTCACACCTCCCAGGGCCGTCTGTTTTACGTCTGTTGTTGAAATTATTTTGCGCCGTACGTAGCCAAACGTGCTAATCGGAGTTGCGGGGGAAGGACAACAAACTACACGCAAAAATCGGTTCTAAAGAGAAAGAGTTTTCAACTTAGATTTCAAAGTGAACAGCTCCGGTGGCTTCCTTGTATCGAAAGGAAAACGTGTTCCAGACGGAGCGCAGAAGCGAATATTAGCCCAGCCCGAGACCGCTGGGCCCCTGGCACTGTTAGCGAGCGCCTATTAAGGGTGGTGCCGGAGCCAAACGGCAGGCACTAAGCCCCCCACCTCGCGGTGCAGTGGCAGCAGGAAACGCACCGTCTCCACCACTCAGCTCCGCCGCTATCTCCCAAACCGGCATGGCATTATCGTTCCACGACCCTCACTGACCCTCGCATTATCTCCTCGGCCAGCCATATATTTAGACAATTACCCGTTGCCTGCTCCGGGGGAGGGTGGGGGTCGAGGGTGGGGGTCGAGGGTGGGCGGCGTTCGGGCGCTGATAAGGAAATCACCCTGGCATTGGCTTCAGTGGAATTTGGGAATGCAAGGGTCAGGCCTTCGTGGGGGGGAGCATTGTGATGTGCCTAATGTTTAACTGGAAGAATGCCGTGCTCAGGATTACCATTATTGTTTACCCATTTAATTTTAAACAACGGTTAATGATTGGAGCATGCGGGGGTGGGGGGGGGGAATGATCGAGTGCGCTGCCAGGGTCGGTGGGCCACCTGACGAGGTTGGAGGCGGTCTGCAGGGCGCCTCCATACAGTCGAGTCGCCTCGCCCGATCGCGCGCTGCACTTGACGGACGAAATGTTAAAGCACATGCCGTGCCTGACAGCTCCAATTACCGCTCGTGACAGGCGGCCCAGATGTGTGTGCCCGCTCCGACGCTTTTCGTGAGCTGCTTGCTGTTGCTGCTGCTGTGGCAGCTGTTGACGAACAGGTTGGGTTTGTGATGCAGCGCCAAATAATAATGTGGAAACGCGTTTTTCTTGGGCAGAAGTGCCCCCCTCCCTCCCCCGATCGTTCCAGCTCACGCGTTGGCCGCCGGGAATGTCGAGGTTCGCACTTTCCGGCCGTGCCGTCCCCCGTGTCTCCATTGCAGGGTGGTCCATTTCGAGATGCCCCACTGGTTTCTGTGAATGCCCCTTCTTTATTTATCTACGAGTGAAAGATGGCAAGCTTCCACGTCTTGCAAAGAGAGTGTTGACATACGTGAGGAGCGTGTTGCGATTGATGGGAGAGATGCAGAGGGTTTTAATTCATGTTGTTGTTGTAGTCTCCGTACGTGTACTGTCTTCTATTAGTATTTTAGTGGGGTGTCTGTAAATGGATTAGCCTTTATTAGTTAATATTTTGAACAATGAGTGATAGTTGAGCAGAGGTATAGGACGGGGGTGGGCACCACGCCAATCATGACAATGACGCGATGTGCCCCTGGCACACATCTGCCTCTACAATAGGTGTACACGTGGCATTGTGGTGTGCATGAATTGTTTAACCAGTACAATACAGCATTTTTATATATATACACGAAAAAAACCCTCACTAAATATTCAGAGAACAATTTCACAAATGGGTCAATTACTGTAGCGGCGGTGAAGTCATCATCGGTGAGCGGACCCTGCCCCGTGGGCAAACGGGGCGAGGTGTTGCGCCAACGTGCGACGATGGCGGCTTACCAGAGGGTGACACGGTGCCCTCTCGCTTTATTGCTGCGACCAACAGGTGGCCATCAAGTCGATCCGCAAGGACAAGATCAAGAACGAGCAGGAGTTCAACCAGATCCGGCGCGAGATCGAGATCATGTCCTCGCTGCGCCACCCGCACATCATCAACATTTCCGAAGGTACCTCGTCGCACGTACGCACGCGGGCAGCGACGGAGTGGCTCCAGGGTGTGCAGGCGGTGCAACCGAGCCGGAGGGTGCCGGAGGGGCTTTGGTATGGGGCAACAAAAAGAAGGTGGGGGGGGGGGGGGGTAAATTAGACCTGGGAGGGGGGCCCCGTCTCATTCCGAGCATTGGGAGACCACGCCAATGACGCTGCGCCACTGACGCACCGATGGACGGGCGGACGGAGCCGTCGCCCCCCCCCCCCCCCCACCTCTGATCCGCCGGTCTTTCCATTTTTTTGTGGTGCAGTGTTCGAGAACAAGACGAAGATCGTGATCGTGATGGAGTACGCGGAGAGCGGCGAGCTGTTTGAGCACCTGCGCCGGCGGAAGGCGCTGTCGGAGGAGGAGGCGAGGAGGCTCTTCCGCCAGATCGTGTCGGCCGTGCACCACTGCCACGCCGTGAGTCCCCCCCTCCCAGGCTCTGGGTCATCACGCTGCCGGTCGCCCCCCAATGGTCCCACGCTCGCGGGGGGGGGAGCAGAAAAAGGCTGCCCCCCCCCCCAAAGGCGTCGCTCACTGCGCTGCGCTCAAAGCTTCCGCAGCGCCAGGCTTGCATCCAGCGTCCTCGATTCAGAGAGAAGCCACTCGGTTGTGAGCGGAGTTGCCAGGCCAAGCGTTATGTTGCTCGACTAGAGGACGCTGTTGTCACCGCGATTAATAAAGGTACGGAACTAAGACGAGTAGCTTTCAATTAACTTAACAGTCGTATGGAGGATTTATTTGAGGTTATTCCTACTTTGTTGATGCCCTTGGATGGAATAAAAAAAGAGTGGTCACAACAATGTTGGCCAAGCCAGCCAATTTAGGAAGGTTATTCATTCACCTTCCATCTATGATAATGATTAACAATAGAGGCATTTATTTACCTCTGAAGAGTCTCGCGACTCTTGTCGAGGGCCGGCATTCCACTACTGCGCAATGTTTGGCCAGTTCCGCTGATGGGTGCTTGGAAGAAAGAGCAAGAGATAGAGTTAAGCGTGTCCGGTATTCGGGGCTGCGTCATCACGGCCGCGTTAGGAGGGGGGCCGCTTTGCTGAGACATCGATGCGACATTTCGAGTGTGTGGGAGTGATTCAGGCTGCTGCCCCCGCTCCCTGTCGCTTGATTACGAGATTTAGGAAACGCCGCCCGATAACAAAGACTTTCGTGAACACTTCCAGCGATGCATCATTTTCTATTTTTAAGCTTTAGCGCCGATGCCACGCTACCGTTGCAGTGTGTGATGTTGTTTACTTGCGTCAGCCGCACGAGCAAACATGGGTTCGTGTGGTAATCTGGAGGGGGGGGGGGGGGGTGCGTTCGTGCACCTGAAAGATGAGAGGCGTGAAAATTCCGGTGTGCAGTTGGGTAATGACGGTGTCTGTGAGCTCAGCGCTGTGGCAGGTGGCAGATGCACAGGGAAGGAACGTGACTTACAGGGAAGCTGCTCTTCTGATCGTTTGCACCCCAGGATTAATCCGAATATCTCATTCCCTCTGTGATGATGTCTCCTATAATCGCCGGTTACTGGCGGATAATGGAAGTAACCCCAGAGGTGACGGCCAATTCGTCCTTTTTATTCGCACGCGGATATAAGTGGTCGCACGGTGGGGCATGGGTTTGATTCCAACCCTAGGTAACATCCATGCACGGATAGGCGCAGACAATCGGATTGGACAGAGCTCGCCAATCAGAAGTCTTCACTTGTGCCTGGTTGTATACGGACGCCTCTTAAACACGAACTAACCGTGACAAAACACTTTTTTACGAACAGCCGAGATCGGTTACAACCCACAACGGCAAATATTTGTCGAGTCACACAACTCCACCACGCGCCGCTTAGCGGGTCACGCTCTCGACAAGCAGAGTCGTTTTATGTTGTTTGTAAGGGCCCTGGCTTGCGACGGCGATTGCTTCAATCTGTGGGCATTGTTGGTACAAACCCCACCACCTGGGATTGTTCGCGATCCTATTTATAGAGCCACAACCGCAACCCCACGACACCACCAGCAACGCGGCGTCTCAAATGTTAGCCGTACAGATGCCACTCTCGCCGTGGCTGGGGTGATGTCGACTTAGCCCTCTCGACGCGAATCCTGGCTCAAGAGTCCAATCGATGGCTTGCGCTGTGGCAGCAGCTGCTACTAAAACTAAAGCGAGACAAAATCGTTCTCCCTGGCTGGGTTTACTGGAATAGGAAACGAATTCCGACCATTGGTGTAACGAGTTGCTCCAGCGTTCGAATGTTATACAAGGTGCTCACTGCCAGCTGGCAGATGCAAACTCGGCCTGGCCTGGCTCCCTGCTACATTTGACAAACATCCAGGTTCTTTACTGCACAAAGGTGTGGTGCTCACAAGCAGCAGGAAGGCCCATCTCCCATCATGCCTTGCATGCGTGGAATGTGGCGAAACTACAATGCATAGTCCACTGCTGGATGAGGGCCATGCTGGTCTTGGGGGTTATTTTCGACCATGCTTCACCACGCTGGTCAGTGCGAGTTGGTGAAGGGTGTGGTGGTTGGGATGGCCGATGTTATCTCAAATGTAAAATCACGCCTGCGCTGATTCATCAATGAAAATCTTTACTTGTAATTGACGTGAATTTATCAGACTTGTTTATATCTCGAGGAGTGGGGGAGGCCCAGGGGGGCAATGGTGGTGCAGTTTTTAGTATCATTTTCTTTCTACGCAATTAAACAGACTCTTGCATCATAACCTACAAGTTCATCCGGTGCAGCTTGTCGGCAGTAGCACGGGGGTGACAAAGGTGGCCGGGTCTGTCTGGTGCTCATCACGTGACCCAACCCCCCCCCCCTTCCCCCCCACTTCGAGAGAGAGCTGTGTCAACTTAACAGGCGCTTCCTAACAACACCTACTCCAGAAGCATTCAAGGCTACGTGGGGGGGTGGTTCCTGTCGTGCGTGCGTGTAGGCGTGTGCTCGGATACGGCGCTGCTATCGCGCTATTTCGTGTTTGCGTTCGTGCTCTAAACGTCATCGCATTCGCATGCCGCACAAAGCAATTGAAGCGTGCAACAAGGTGGACGGGAATGGCTTTTGAGTAAATTTATCGTGGTAGGGACCCCGGCGGGAATGCCAACAATGAGTCCGCGCCTCCACCGCCACCCGGCTGCTGAGTCTTCAATTTGTTGGAACGGTGGGGCACACAGAGGCTTCGCGTGCTGTCAACCCGCCAACGTGAAGTTCCACCGTGCCGTTTATTGACTCGGTCTGTTGGGAATTGTTTTGTACGATGAATAAATAACTTGGGTAACACGTCGAGTGAGGGCTGGGGGGGTGGCGGCGTGGGGGGCGGCAGGGGGGGGGGCAGCAGCTATCCCAGCGCGCCGTGAAATCTCACAGACGCTCTCCGGTAATTTGTTACCAGCGTGGGGGGGGGGGGGGGGGGGGGGGGGCAGTGACGCGATGGTGCACCGCCAACAAAATCGATTGGCGAGTGATCCGTTAACTCACCCTGGCCACCCCATCACCTTGACCAACCCGCAGTGACCAGTGTGGTGAAGTATGGTCAAACAACGCCCATAACCATCAGAGCAAGGGTGGGGGGGGGGGGGGATGCCTTCACCCAGCAGTGAATAGACCAAGGAGCCGTGCATGTACATTGACCGCAATCGCCCCAGCTTCTCGCCGTTAGCCTCGTCAGTGGTACTGTCCATTTCTAAAGCTGGGTCGTAAAATTCTAACAGTGTGTTAATCCGTAGTTAGAATTGCGTTTGAGTGTAATTGGCATCGTACTGTGGTCTAACGATCGCCCCTTCGTGCGTCCCCCGGCAGAACGGGATTGTCCACCGTGACCTCAAGCTGGAGAACATCCTCCTGGATGAGAAGTTCAACATCAAGGTACCAGTGGAGGAACCCCTCGACATGTCGATACTTCTGCCTGCATTTTTCTTGTCTCGCGACATCTGAACGTCTACTGCCACCTCACTAGGATTTTATACATTGGAAGTGGGGGGCTGCCCACACCCCCCCCCAATTATTTTTTGCTGATAGGCCCCCAATGGGCCCCCACCACCACTTGGCGACAGTGGAGGTGCTGGCCCATGAAGGTTTTACAGGAAATCTGCCAGTCATCTCAGTCTGTCCCGTGACCCCCTGCCAGCGGGCGTTCAACCCTTCACGGTGGCCTTAAAGTACTCACAGCCTGGCACAAGGGCCGTGGTGACGTCACCGCCACTTAGTGGCGATTGGTGCTTGTTGTTGTTGCGGCTACCAAGGAGGCTTTCGTCCGGTGGTGCATTGTTGTTGTAGATGGGAAGTTAAATGCAAATGTGTTTTTTGATATTTGTTGGCTGGATCTCGTAACGTTTCATTGAAATGCAGTCAAAACTTCCGTCAAATCAGTGTGCTTTGCATGACAAACGTGTCGATTGGTATGTTAATTGTGTTTTTCGAATGTATGAGCAGGCATACATGGCAAACTAAATCATTATTAAATATTTCATGGCCTGTCTGTCTGTTATCTGTGATAATGAATACCTTGTGAAAGCGAGCAAATAGCATTGATCACTTTTTGGAAGTTGACTGAATTCCCCCCCCCCCCCCCCACGTATATTCTGCCATTCCTATCTTAAAATAAAAAAACACGTTCGCAAATGACAGACGTTAAAGTGCAGGTTAACCAATAAAGTATGCTCAGGTGTGGTTCAGGTATTGGGTGATTTTTCAGCCCCTGGGACCTTGACCAGCAATGCAAAGCATGCAGCAGTTGTTATTTTTAATCAGTCTCTCCCTGCAGGGCAGGTGACTTTAAGCGTTAAGATTACCACCTTGGCAGGAACGCTGCCGTGCAGTAATGGTTAGGGTCTGGGCCTGCGGTCTGGAGGTCGCCGCTTCGATCTGATGTACGCGTTGAACTTCTTTCGCACCGTGCGTAGCCCACCGCGCTAATCGGAGGGGCTGGGGAAGGACAACAACACTAAACACAAAAAGCAGTTCTAAAGAAATTAGTTTTCAATACAGATGATTTAATGCTTTCTTAACTCCAGTGGTTTCCTAATATCGGAAGGAAGAGCATTCTAGACGGCAGCAGAAGGGCATCTGAACGCACGCGATGCGGTGACCAGCTTTGTTTGATGGCCAGCCAAAAGTTGCTGCTGCTGCGAGGATAACCGGGGGTCAAAACAATGGCGTGGGGTGGGGGGGGGGGTGATGATGGGGGTCTCTTACATCCCTCCCGTCACCTCCGTCCATCCAGCGGTATCACCCGCGCACCGCCACGGTTAGTCTGCGGTGGGATAAAGTGTGGAGTACGCTCCCACCTCTTCCGAGACGTGTGGTCAGCGTGGACGAGTATGACCATAATGACCCCTCCCTTGGGCTTGGGGCCATCGCGAGTGCGGGCCCTGCGACCAGCAGTGGCATGCGCAAAGTGCGGTCATCGCGGGGCACTGCACCATTTACCTTCTAGCCCGCGGGGGTACCCGGCCGAGTTTAAACATTATAGCCACGATTACTGCCTCCTTTCGCAGCGACGCCTCAATTTCAACCAAAAAAAAAGGGGTTAACGACTGGGTGAGAATTCCTGGTCTGCTGACATCATTGTCGGGGGGGAGGGGGATAATGAGTTTAGTTTCACTCTTCCCAGGGGTTTGTGGCCACGCTCACGGCTCGCTTATCGACAGCCGCTCTTAGCAACCGACCTGCTGCAAGACGCCCTTAGCGGTCGATCTCCAGAGCCAGCCCCATCCACCGCCACCCCCCCACCCATCCCCAACCTCACTGCCGACAACATCCAATTAAGAAAAATGCAATTCCTCGTGCGTGTGGCTTTTGTATAGCAACGTATAGGCCCGTGTCCAGATCTGATAGTCTGACAGCACGGCCTCGGGGATCGGGGGTCGTCGGGGGGAGAAGCTGCATGGATGTCTTCCGTGCCTCCGCTGAATTTAAGGCGAGCTTTGAAATGGAGAATCGGCCAAAATAACAACATGAATATGTATGTTTAATTTCTTCCTCCCGGTAACGCTTGGCTCTCCCGTTGTAAAGCAGATGACGCACGCGCGACAAAATTAAATCGCAGACCCGAGTACCCCATAAATTTGTTCGGGGCTGTTAACTGTAATTGAGGCAGGATCAAAGCCAAGCTGAACGTCTTCATGATGACAAATACAAACTCGGTGTTTGGCATTACATAATGGCATCTGAGATATGAATCAGAAACGCTGACATGGGCAGAGAAGATTGGTAGGGAAACTGAAGAGCACGCGACCAAGCGTGGCGAGATGGACACTCGGGGTTGCACGGAGAGAGACGAGAGAACAAACGCAAGACGGTGACATTATTGAATCAAAATATGTATTCATCCTGGAGAAATCCGATGAGCTGTGAAGCTCTTTTTCACAGATGTCCAGTAGGGGCTGGTCAGAAAACCACAACAACGAGAAATACAAACACACGATAAGGAGTGCAAAGTTGTAGGACATTGGATGAAGGTAATTGTTGCCTGGGCGGGCCGCATCGCTAGAAGGGGCGATGGCCGATGGTCAAGACTGACTGTGGAGTGGCAGCCAACTGAGAGAATTTACCCGAGAGGAAGCAAGTCCACCGTGGAGGTGGAGAGATACGATTGGCTCCTCTGTTTGTGTTCCATATGTGGATGCCAGATGGATTGTCATATCACACACCCATGAGAGATTGAAACGGCTTGTGGAGGCAATCATCCAGCAATTTATTGATGATGAATAGGATGGTTGACCTGATCGTCCACGTGGTGCATATTTGTGTGATCAGCACAGGGCCCTCCAGAAAAATAATCGCCTGCATTGCTTTGCGTTTCACCCCTCGCCACGTGGAACAGCCCTTGGGCTTCTGGCATACTTGTCCGCGTGGGACTTTCCTTACATGGTCACGGGGCAGTGGAGGGCGGGGGGGGGGGGAGACGCAGAAATCGCCCGTGGCGACGGCTCACGGGTTACACCTCGCTCAGCCAGGAGCCCGCCGCGTTCCTCCGTGGTGATGGTGGCGGCGCGTCTCCTGGTAAAATAGCAACGCGGCAGAATGCACTGCGTGGGTTTGTCGCCCGTTGCCCTGCAGAGCTCCCTGGAGCTTTTTGCCCGCGTGCCGTTCGGCACAACGCCCCCCGAGTTTTTTTGCTGAACACGTGCGCTGGCAATTCTTGAATTCGGATCCCGAAGAAGCTCCCGGGAACGTGGTGCGAAACGTCGGGCGTCGTGCCGACCGACGCGCGAATCAACCCCGAGACCTCGTCAAGGAGCCGTGGAGGCAGGCGTGCACATGCACGCCTGGAAGGGCGCCCACCGCCACCACTTTTGTCTGCGGTGGCCTTCTCGTAGGGAAGGCGGCTTGGGGAGACATCGAAATGAAAAACGCTCACAATCCTGCAGCGAGCGCCTGCCAGAGCTCTTTTCCGTGGCTATTTTTCGCTGAACGCATTACGGTAATTAATTACTGTTGCCTGCGGGCCTCTGAGGAGAGCTGTCGTTCCCCTGCACCTGCGATTTAGCACGGTTGGCTGCGTATGGTGTGAAAGAAGTTAAATACATACATGCATACATTGACTCCTTGCACAGTGCTGTTGTTAATGGCCACAGGACAACATTGTCTGTAATGTGCCCGCCTTCGCAAGAATGAAAAATATGGACGCCAATTTCGGATGTACCCTTTTGAACATCAAAAAAATGCGGTTATGTCGGTTATTTTGATTCATTAATTTTTGCGCTCGCGCTGCTGAAATTGGCCGCCGTGAATTGGCGACGCCTGGAAGGTGTGCGGGCGCGCGTGCGACGCGGCGCCGTGCGGATGAGTGAGCGCTCGGGTCTGTGCCTGTGTGCGTGCAGATCGCCGACTTTGGGCTGTCCAACGTGTACCACAAGGACAGCGTGCTCGACACGTTCTGCGGGAGCCCCCTGTACGCCTCGCCCGAGATAGTGCACGGCAAGCCCTACTGCGGGCCCGAGGTGAGCAGGACGACGCCACCACCACCACACCACCAAGCCACTGCAACCACGCCGCAGCCACCACCGCAATCGCCACACCACCATGCCACCGGAACTCTGTTTCGGCCATACCACAACCGCACCATAACCACAGCGCAACTGCACTGCAGCCAGATCACGGCTGAATATCTGAGCCGGGTCAGGCAACACCAATCATTGTGTGGCTACACCGCTCGGAGTATAAACACATTTCAACCAGATGCTCATAATGGATGCGCCACAAAAGTCTTGACGTTTTAAATTACATTTCTTACAAAGTATTGCGCACGATTACATTACCTTTGCACGTCCTTTGGTCACGCGTGGAAATAGCCACCCTAACGCGTGCGTGAGACTGGAAATTTGAAGTCAAATCTCTCTCTCTAAATGAATGCGGACACGATTAAGGAACGAGTAATTGGGCAGCATTCACGGTTCATTAAGGGGAGCGAAACGAGCATTAGGGGCCCTTGTACATTGCCGTAGCGGCGTGCTTTTACAGGCCAATTAGAAAGTAATTGCAAAGTAATTTACCAAGGGACTGCACTAAATGATGCAAGCTGCGATGTATCATTAACTTTTCTTTTTAAATGCTATGGCTTGAGCTGAGATGGAATGGATTTATTGAATCCATCTGTATGGATCTTTGAATATGACCTCCTCGCATCCGTGGGAATTCTCTCGGTACACGAGGCCCACGACCGACGTTTTTCCCGTCACTGCGGGCATCTTGGCTGCACTAATCGGGTACTGGAGGGGGGAATATTTTCCACCACCGAGCAACGCCGTGCTTCTAATTTGTTTGATCTCGGTCATTTCGGTCACTGCAAGGAAGCTCTCGCACTAACTCAACTGTGTGTATGTGTGTTTAATGTATGGCCCTTGCCAATGGTATTTGAAAGTCTGAATCGGTCCTTTAATACTCATCGAGTTCTCCATTCCTGTCTTGATTAATGGGTTGATTCCATCTCCTGGTGAAATTTGACAGAGCCTCAGCTGTTTTTAATGTCATGAGGACGACCGCAATTGTGCAGGAAGATGATTATTTTTTACGCAATGGTGGCGAGATGTTAACTACCTCGCCTGGTCTACAGGAGGTCGTGGGTTCAATTCCGACTCTAATGCCTGTATAGTTGGAGTTTTTTATGTTCTCCCCGTGGTCACATGGATTTTTTTTCTGGGTAACTCCGGGTTTTCCTTCCACATTTATAATCAACCTGCGTTTAGAGTATTTGGCTGCAATACATTTCTACGTGATAAGCCACACTGGACAGGTCGCTTCTTTATAGCTCAGTGGGCCTTACCCAGTAACATAAAAAACATTTTTTTTAATATAGTTTTTTACAGTTTTTAACAAAGATTTTCACAAATGTGGTTTGGACGTTGCTGGAAATGGCAGGGCGGAGGGTGGCAGCGAGCGTGTGGATCGGCAGCTGTAAACAAACGGTCGCGTGGTGCTTTTGTCCGTGGCGCGCTTCGCGAGCAGGTGGACGCGTGGGCCCTCGGCGTGCTGCTCTTCTCGCTCGTGTACGGCAGCATGCCCTTCAACGCCGACGACTTCTGCACCCTCATCAAGCAGATCTCCACCGCCGCGTTCCAAGAGCCAAGCGTCAAGTCAGGTGACTGGCACGCAGCAGCCCCCGTCCTCCACGAGCGATGTGTTTCCGTTGTATTTTCTTTACACGCAACCCCATTGGCCGCACAGCCTTCTGCGAAGGCATCTTATCAGCAGCATTGATTTAAAGAAAGCGAATACTGGACCGGTTTTGACATTTAGTGTCTCATCGGCAGAATCCAACGTGCTTGTACCGGTGACCTGCCTGATGTTCATATAGGCAAGGGCTGTTTCTGTAAGAAATGGGTCCTCGTTCGACGCAAAACTATATAATGTGTAACACAAATTAATCCTTAAACATCGTCATGGAGAATGGTAATAAGGAGATACATAATTGCTCCTTGCCATATTTGTCTCTGCGTTTAAAAGTAAAATAATTGAGTTTACACAAGCCGTTTGCCACACGGCCTTCTGGGAGCGCACCTGATTGACAGCACTGGGATACGTTTACGGCAGAGTGCCGGGGCCGCCCTTTGCCGTGCGACGACGCGAGCCTCACCGCGACGACGCTCCGCCCCCCCCCTCCCACCCATGCAGGAGCCAGCGAGCTGATCCGCTGGCTGCTAACGGCGGACCCCTCGCACCGTGCCACCGTGGAGGACGTCGCCTCCCACCCGTGGGTCAACGTGGGCTACGACAGCTCCGTGTGCGACTGCCCGCAGACCTGCTGCCGCCGCCAGTCGGCGGAGGCCTCCGCGGCCGCGGGCCTCTCCGAGGGCCGGTGCAACCACGTGTCCAAGCTGCTGCCGGCGCACCAGAACGGCCTGCAGAAGTCCAGGAAGGAGAACGACATGACGAACCCTCACCAGCGGACGCCCTCCGTCAAGAAGCCCAAGGGCATCCTCAAGAACAGGACCGGGGAGAGCGGCCACCCGCGGGACGCCAAGGAGGCTTCCGTGGGACACTCGCCGCCGTCTGGGACGCCGTCCGACGGCAGAGCGGAGAAGACCTCCGCGGACAGACGCGAGGGGGCGAAGGAGCAAGCGGCCAAGATGCCACGCAAGGGGATCCTGAAGAATCCTCAGCAGCGGGAGTCCGGCTACTACTCCTCCCCGGAGCACTCGCTGTCCCTGGAGATGCTCGACATGGAGAGCGGCCCGGATCCGTTTGACGACGCGAGTTCTCCGGCGCCGGACGAGCGCCACGTGGACGAGCGGCTGCTGGCGGAGCCGCGGGGCAAGAGGAGCTCGAGCGACCGCAGCCTGGACACGTCGGGCGGCGGCGCAGCGGCGTCGTCTCGGCGCGCCACCGTCTCCATGGAGGACATCCTGTCGGAGGCCTCGTGCGGCGGCCGCCGCGACGAAGACGGCGGCAGGGCCGAGCCGCTGTCGCGCTCCACCATCACGCTCAGCAACGACAGCATCCTCTCCAACGAGTCGTTCGACCTCCTCGACCTGCCGCGCCGCGACCTCGCCCGCTGGAATCAGCGGCGCAAGAGGCAGCAGCAGCGGCAGAACCAGCAGCGCGTGCGGGTGGCGCGCTCGGTGGAGGACCTGGTGGCCCCGGAGAGCCGGCCGCGCCAGCCGCGCTCGCTGGGCGCGCTGCTGCTGGACGCCGATCGCGACCCCCAGCGGCGGTGCCGTTCGGTCATCGAGAGCTACGACGGGGAGCTGGACTGCGACGACGAGGGCCGGCGGGAAAACCCGACGCTGGGCAACAGCCGGTGCTACCGCGTGCGCGGCACGGCGTCGGGCGGGAGCGCGCGGTCGCTGCTCACCGAGATGGCGGACGTCACCGAGCAGTACCGGAGTGCCGCCAGCCACCGCCAAAGGGTCCTCTGTTGACGTCCGAGCCGGCGTTGAGGTGTTTCGTGCTCTTTGGGAATTGATCGATGTTATTATTTCTAGGTAGCCGGCTGGTTGCTGTTTTTTATGGTACGTTCATTTTTTCGAAATGGAAATAATACATTTCACGCGTTCGAGTGAGACTCTTATTCCTCTGGAAGAAATTGACATTGTCCTTGTCATGTGCGAAATAAATTCAAGAATGTGCACTCCGGAGGAAAAGCTGATGATAAGAAAAGTTTCATCAAGTTGAGTACGGTTATTTCACAGCTTAGTTTATTACTTGAATGAATGACTTCATATTCGGAGCCGAGTAAGCTCGCTAGCAGTGGCTAACAACCACACCTCGTGCGTACAACATCTGGACATCGCGCCGACGGCGAGACCTTGGCTCACGGCTCGACCTTGTCTAGGAGGCCGCAGTGAACGCTTAGAAATCTCAACGAAAGCAAAGCCACGCGAGTGGGAACGTGCGCTCTGGACGTTGGACGTCGGCTGCAGTCGCCCGCCACCAAAATTCGGCGTCGCAGGAGCCGCGTCTGGCGTCTCATCGCACGGCCCGGCCTCTGCACCGTGGCAAGGGACCGGCCAACCGACAATGACCGGGGAGCGTCATCGTTTGTGAACATTGCGTGAACACGTTCTAGCGTTGTCGTAGCGTGGCGATCGGCGTCTCCCAGCCAAGAACTTCACGAAGCCACCAGCAAGAGAAGTGCCCTCTCCCTGTACATGCGATTGAAAGGACACGGTCGCTTTGTTGTTGTTATTGTTGTTGGCGGAGTCGTTGCCATCATTGACTTCATTAAAATTAAGGAATATGTATACTGGGCACGACAGGATATGTTGATCAGCTATTTTGACGGAAAAAAAGCAACAGCGTCGCTGTTCTTTAGCATTATCTCTGTTAATTTATTCTGCGTTTAAGCTATTGTTGTCTAAGCTTTGATATCAATTAATAAATACCAACGGGAGCCAATTTGTTGGATGTCCCGAACAGAGGAAAATCTTACGTGATGTTAAACTGACCTAAGTCGGGGCTTAATTTCAGCCGGACCTTTCCGGGGCAGAGCTTGAGAAAATATTCCCGGGATCTGGTTGTTTGAGGAGGGGGGTGGGGGAGAGGTTTGTGGTTGGGATTGGGAGCCCCCCTGGAAAATATCCCATGAGAAATTAAGCCTTGGCCTAATATTGCATTGAAGGGGCATTGTAACGATATGAACATTGTGTCCGCACGCAAGGTAGCCGTGGTTTGTTGTGGTGGGTGCGGGGGGGGAGGTTTAAGCAGATGAGTGAGCCTCCCACCGGGTTTAAAGGGCAACTTGTTTTTAGGGCCGATATGCTTCGCACGTTGGCGATGCAGCGGCCCGACACAGCTGCAAGCGGCAAGCGCCTTCACTCGTGGAGGCTTCAGGCCGGGCCGTCGCGCTCATTAAATTATTTTCTCGAGGAATCGTGACGCTCGTCAATGTGCGAAACAACAGCCGCCGTGTGTCCTCTGCGTTGGCGCTGAGCTGCTTGTAATGGTTCGGTGGTCGTTGTGTACAAAAAATAAAGTTAGTTTTGGAATTCAGCGCTGCCATATCTTTCTGCCGCTGTCGTTTCTTTCCCAATGAAAATTAACACGGCCAGTCGCCTCCCTACGACTCTCGCACGCTCCCACCATGGTTTATAATTCCCACGAAACGCACTCGTCGAATCTCTAAGCCAGTTGGTGGCAATTTCAGAGTGCACAGCCAGAGCTCGGAGATTGAGGTGTGAGCGTGTGTAAGTTACGAGTGAGTGAATGTGTGAGATTGTGTGGATTAGTGTGTGTGTGTATGTAAGAGTACGTGTGAGCGAGTGTGTATGAGATGGAGTGAGTGAACGAGCGCGAGTGAGTTTACGGGCTGTACGAGGACGAGCCATTGCCTTGGAGAACAAGACCGTCTCTTGGCAGTGGCCACGTCGCCTCTATAATCACTGTGCGCGCACGCACATAGACCACGCAGTAGGCCGTGGCCAATCAATACGTTCGATCTTCTTATGATCCAACAACCCTGACGCCGTCACCGTTCCCGCAGAAGGAACTTGGCGAGGATTCCTGCGCGGGGGAGGGAGAGTTTTTGTTCCACGCCGGTTGCGAAGTGCCATGGTGAACTCAGGTCTCATCTCGCGTGACCAACGCGATCCAGGAAAATTGGATCCTCAATGTGTGCGGCCCTCTGCAGGAGAAGCCCAACTTTAATCGACGGTGACAAATGATCTCCTTGACCTGCGAGTGTCCTGCGATCCACACGGCTCCCGCTTTGTTGTTGCGAACCGCTCGATGTTAAATCGCAATCGTGCAGCCTCTCCGTGCGAGCTCGGAAGGCGCACGCGGGTTCGGCCACGTGCGCCGGTGCGGATCGTAACCGGCTGCCTCGCGATGTCGAAGCGGAGCGGCGGCCGCCGCCATCTGGCACGAGGGAGGGCGGCGCGCCACAGCCGCCAGCGATCGATGGCCAAAAACCTTCACGAGTCTCACGTCGCGTGAGCAGGGAAGGAGCGCGGTCGACGATGGCTGAGCAGGGTCCGTTGGTGATGTTCGCGTTGTTGTTGGAACGTTCTTTCCCGCCCCTGTTGGACATCTGTGAAAAAATTCGCTTCACGGCTCGTCGTTAAATATTCTAATTGTGAAATGAGGGCGAAGGGACGTGACGACCTGCCGGCTCTCGATGAGTCGCCGTGTAACTAGACCCCTCCCCCCTCTCCACCACAGCGATTCAGTCTCACGAGTTAATCGAGTCACGGCCCAATTCAATACATACAGAATTCCTCTCGTGTTCAACTTCTTTCGCACCGTACGTTGTCAACGTCTGATAAATGTGCCGCGCGATGATGTTCGCGACACAGCAGCTACCACTGATAATGGGAGTTGTGGATAATAGGGCTGATGAGATGAGCTCTGTAATTGAAAGACTTGTACTTATTTGTACCATATTGTTGGTACAAATAGCCGTATAATGTAACAGGCACTCCGTTTGACTATCCCTTAAAGTGGTCAATGCGCACACCAACAATACGAATCATGTGAGATGAGACTCGTGTGCTAATGGGATCAGTCGACTCACCGTGACGTGACGAAACTTACGCCGCCACGAGCGAGGCGGCATCCGTGCTGACCCTGCGTGACTGTCGTCCGTCCGTGACATCGAATACTCCAGCGTCCGCACGTGACTTGTTCGTCGGTGGAGAGGGGTGGGGGTGGTTAATCGAACGCATCGCAACGGAAAGTGCTCGCGCGCAGAGGGCGCGTGGATACTTCAAAGGAGTCGCACGAACCCGCGAGACAAAGACAAAGATCCCCACCACATCTTGACAAACTGTAGGGGCAGGTGCTGTTAGCGAGCACCTATAAAGGCCGGTACGGCACACGAGGGGGTGGGCGGCCAACACCACGCCCGGCCGCCTTTGTCTCCCCAGTGGCGATGTTTACACACCGCACCAGGCCCAGGACCGGTTCAGATAATCGTCACTGGTGTTGGCCGGGAATCGAACTCGGCACGCCGGGTTTGTAGCGCAGCGCGCTAACCGCTACACTACCGCTCCCCACACACAGACAGACACACAGACACACCTACACACACACACGCGCAGGTGCGGCGGCTTATTAAAGGGGGCATCCACGCCAAACCATCGCTAACACCAGCAACCAGCAACCACCGCTCCGAGCCCGCACGGTCCCGGCGCTTCTCTTTGTCCCCTCCCGCATGATGTCACACTTGATTGCGTGACATCCCTCCCAGCCCATGTGTCTGCCCGTCCACGTGTTTGTACAGGTGGTCGTCGTCTTGCAGGGCCCAGGGAAAGGTTGGGGTCTGGCGGGTGGAGTGAGGTTGGCACCGGCTCAAACGTAACCTGTCATGTGATTTCAGACTCTGTATCGCCTCCCCCGTCCTCTCCTAGGTAGACTCAGCCTGAAATGAATGCCCGACACTGCAGGCACTGCGATGGTTGGCATGACGTGGTTGTAATTGGCGGGTAGAGCTGTGGTAACGAGATTTAGTGCGGTCCACCTCCTGCTGGACCAAACGTGACTAACGTCCTAAACTAAGACTCAACAATTGTTTTTATTTTACCGGGTAAGACCCACTGAGCTATATAGAGCTTTTCAGAAGCGACCTGCCTTTCACAAATGATAGCTCAACGAAGTGGCGTATCATGTGGAAATGTAGAGCAGCCAAACAACTCTCAACGAATGTTTCTAAACGTGGAGGGAACAATCCGGTGGACCCGGAGAAAAATCCACGCGACCACGTGGAGAGAAACACGCAAACGCCACATACACAGCGGGCGTCAGGGACGAAATCGAACCCACGACTTTCAGCACACCTGGTTATAAACATTGTATTGATTACAACGTTAACAAACATACATCAATGACTGCTTCGCTCAGCCTCAATCTTTTCTCTCATCGATCCCTTGCCCCATCGTCTCTCTTCACTTGCTTCATCGTCTCTCCACTTGCTCCATCGTCTCTTCACTTGCCCCATCCTCTTCACTTGCCCCATCGTCTCTTCACTTGCCCTATTCTCTCTTCACTTGCCCCATCGTCTATTCACTTGCCCCATCGTCTCTTCACTTGCGCCATCGTCTCTTCACTTGCCCCATCGTCTCTCCACTTGCCCCATCGTCTCTTCACTTGCCCCATCGTCTCTCCACTTGCCCCATCGTCTCTTCACGCCCTCGAACAAATACACAGCAATAATCCACGGTATTGGCCCTGGCCCCCTTTTCACCGAAATTTCGAATTTCAATTTCGGTTTATTAAAATCGTCGGCAGACAACAGAGGCCCCAAACTCATGGCAACGCTGAAAATGAATCAGCCTACTTTCATGTTTCATTCGAAGGCGCGACGGTGTGGATTGAGGCCAAAGTTGTTGAACGATTACATTCCTTCCTCTGCTTTTTTATCACAGGTACGAGCATGGACACAAGCACGGGCTCGCACAAATTGATTGATGTTCAAAGTCTGCGCGGTGGCATTGAATGAGTGGAATGCCTCGGCTTTTGTCCGGTTCAAGGCGGTGCACGCAACACTCACAACACGAGTTGTTTGCGTTCAAGGAGGCTGCTGGGTGGACAAAAGGGCCGCTGAGGCAGTCGCATACCTGAGAGGAGCACCCTTGCCCGTGCCAGGTGACTTTTCCCACGCTCGCCACGCTCGCCGTGTTTGTCCCTGGCAATGCGCCTCCGCGGATTGAGTTGAGAAATATTTATTGGCGGAGCATTTGAGGCATTTCCCACGCGCGCTGTAACAGAGAGGAGGATTATTTTTTTTACGAAAGAGATGGGGGGGGGGGGTACAGTGGTGAGCGCCGGGGTACAACAACTCTCCACAACCAGAGTTCACTTTCCAGGCTGTGGATAACATCAGTGGGGAGTGATTCGCTAAATCGGTCCCGAGGACCACCCCCGCATTCACCTACAGTGAGGGAAAAAAAGTATTTGATCCCCTGCTGATTTTGTACGTTTGCCCACTGACAAAGAAATGATCAGTCTATAATTTTAATGGTAGGTTTATTTGAACAGTGAGAGACAGAATAACAACAACAAAATCCAGAAGAACGCATGTCAAAAATGTTATAAATTGATTGGCATTTTAATGAGGGAAATAAGTATTTGACTCCCTCTCAATCAGAAAGATTTCTGCCTCCCAGGTGTCTTTTATACAGGTAACGAGCTGAGATTAGGAGCACACGCTTAAAGGAAGTGCTCCTAATCTCAGCTTGTTACCTTTATAAAAGGCACCTGTCCACAAAAGCAATCAATCAGATTCCAAACTCTCCACCATGGCTAAGACCAAAGAGCTCTCCAAGGATGTCAGGGACAAGATTGTAGACCTACACAAGGCTGGAATGGGCTACAAGACCATTGCCAAGCAGCTTGGTGAGAAGGTGACAACAGTTGGTGCGATTATTCGCAAATGGAAGAAACATAAAAGAACTGTCAATCTCCCTCGGCCTGGGGCTCCATGCAAGATCTCACCTCGTGGAGTTGCAATGATCATGATAACGGTGAGGAATCAGCCCAGAACTACACGGGAGGATCTTGTCAATGATCTCAAGGCAGCTGGGACCATAGTCACCAAGAAAACAATTGGTAACACACTACGCCATGAAGGACTGAAATCCTGCAGCGCCCGCAAGGTCCCCCTGCTCAAGAAAGCACATACACATGCCCGTCTGAAGTTTGCCAATGAACATCTGAATGATTCAGAGGACAACTGGGTGAAAGTGTTGTGGTCAGATGAGACCAAAATGGAACTCTTTGGCATCAACTCAACTCGCCGTATTTGGAGGAGGAATGCTGCCTATGACCCCAAGAACACCATCCCCACCGTCAAACATGGAGGTGGAAACATTATGCTTTGGGGGTGTTTTTCTGCTAAGGGGACAGGACAACTTCACCGCATCAAAGGGACGATGGATGGGGCCATGTACCGTCAAATCTTGGGTGAGAACCTCCTTCCCTCAGCCAGGGCATTGAAAATGGGTCGTGGATGGGTATTCCAGCATGACAATGACCCAAAACACAAGGCCAAGGCAACA